GTTTGTAAACACAACAGGAAGTATCCTTGTCAATGTAATTTTCACGCTTCAATATCACCCTTCTCCAGAATTTCCTATTTAAGAGAAGAAGGCTTTACATTTTGTATTATAATGTCATAGTATGATACAATCTATAATTGTGAGTCACATTGCGCTATAATATATTTTACTACTAACTGCTGTAGGATATTACTAAAATTCCAGCTAATAGGGGCAGGGACCCTTGCTGGCATTTCCTCACTCCGCCCTGGCTCATTGTCATAGATACAAATTTTTTGCATAATGTTCAGTTTGATTGACACATTTATAGTATAGATGTTCATTGATTGTGTTCAACTTATTTCATTTTATATGCTTTTTATTCTGTCATATAGGAAGCAGTTACTAGGGGCGGTGCACCCCGGAGAGAAAAACCAAGAGGTCGCCATCATGCCTTATCTCAACAGAAGAAGCAAGAGATAAAGGAAGCTTTTGAACTATTTGATACAGATGGTTCTGGTATGAACATTTCTTTGCATTTGGCAAGAACATTAAGTTTCTTCCTTATTCTTTTTTGAGATGGCTTCTTTTCTTGTTAGGCACTATTGATGCTAAAGAGTTGAATGTTGCTATGAGGTATTTGTTTCTTGGACGTTTTGTACACCCGCTATCAAACTACTTTATGTCAATTTAGTTTTGATATGGCTGTGCTAACACATTAATGTTATTTTGCTGCAGGGCTTTAGGATTTGAGATGACAGATGAGGTAAAGTTAATTCTGATTCCCCCCTACTTTCATTTTTCAGTAAATGTGAACAGCCAAAGGTAGAAAATAACAAGTTTAGGTGGATGCTTTTTGGGTGCCATGCAAGCCCTATGCTTCCGTAATCTGTTCATATTATATATTAAAATGGGAAAGATGATATCCAGAGTTCAGGCCTCTTGTCCCTTTTGCTTCCAAATTCTTGAACTTTCTTAGGCATGCTCAAGTCATCAGATGCCATGCTTGATTGTCATTATTCTTTTTGCCTCATCTTCTCTGATTCTCCATATGCTAATTGCTAAAGACTAAAAGAGTATCTTTAAACCCCCTGTTTAATTCCCATCATTTGCGAAATATAATATTTTAGATGTTAGTAATTCATTTTAAAATGGAGAGCTAGTTTGATTCCTTTCTGTTGGAAATGATGGAAGACATGATCTTGGGTTTGCCAACCAAGACAATTTGTTTCATGGCCACTTTTTCTTTTTCTTTATTTAACATGCAGGTTCCTATTTCCATTATTTTGTTCTCATTCTGGAATATGTATAACTTCTTTTTTATTGCAGCAAATCAATCAAATGATTGCTGATGTTGACAAAGATGGCAGTGGTGCCATTGATTTTGATGAATTTGTTCACATGATGACGGCCAAGATTGGGGAAAGGGACACTAGAGACGAGCTTATGAAGGCCTTCCGCATTATTGACGAAGACAAAAATGTGATACTCTAATCATACTATTTTCAATTAATATATATTTGATTTTTCTAAAATTTAGATTTATTTGTTGCTTTCTTCTTTTTTCTTGTTAACAAACTTGACAAATC